AATTTTCTATAACTTATCATCATTTGTTTTTATTTGTTTTAAATGCCAGAAAAATGAGGACGACTTCAATATATACGATTATAAAAATTTTTTTACTACTTACCAAGTATGAATAAAGCAAATGTTAAATTTAGATACAATATTCAACTCTTGGTACAAATTTTTTAATTATTGCTTTTTAATGTTGATGGTTTGGGGTTGTACGGTTGGGAAGGAACTTGATTTGGTTATTGTTTTTATGATCATTAACCGAAACGAAAGAAGTCTATTGGAACACATAAGTGTGAGTGCCCATTTAGCCCCCGTTTGGCTTTCTTAAAATGAAAATGGGGAGAATAATATTTTTTTGAAAAATGAGTGGTTGAAAGAGAAGGAAAAGTTTTCGATTTATGTGTAACATTATTTTATGGAAGATTGTGTGGTTGAAAATAAGAGAGAGAGAAATGGAATGTAATATAATTTAATTTAATGAGAGCCAAACGAGGGCTTAATCTAAACAGTGTGAAGTTGTTGAATGAGGATGATTGGATGTGAAATGTATTATGTGGACTATATAATCATCGAGCGGGACAACATTTGAAATGACATCCTTATGTGGCAAGATTAACTAATGAAGAGAAGAAAATTTTAATAGATATGTCAAAAAGTTTGGTAAAACCTAGGAATATATTGATGACTTTGAAAGATCAGGATCCAAACAATGTTAGCACAATGAGAACTACTTACAACACTTGTGCAAGGCATAGATTGATTGAGAAGGTGGAAAAAAACACACGCAATAGTTAATGAGCAAGTTAAAATAACACAATTCATTGAGTATCATAGGTATCATGGAGACATTGATGAAGTAAGAGACCTTTTCTTTGCACATTCGACATCTGTAGATTTATTGAATGCCTTTTCATGTGTTCTTATAATGGATTGTACTTACAAAACAAATAGATATCGATGCCCTCTTTGTGAGATTTTTATTTGGGGGGGGGGGGGGTTGACCTAAATGACTTTTTCTAATGCTTTCATGTTCATGGAAACTGAACGAGAAGCAAATTATATTTGGGCAATGAAAAAGTTGATAACCTTAATGAATTGCGATGTCTTGACGCATGTCATTGTAATTGATAGGAAACTGGTTCTTATTTATGCAATTGAAAATATTTTTCCTAATGCAAAAAATCTACTATGCACATGGCACATATCGAAAAATGTATCGATCAATACAAAGATTTTTTTTGAGCTAAAAGAAGTACAGGATATTTTTTGTAGGAGTTGGAGCGTATTTGTTATATCTACTTTTCGAATTTGGACACTTTTCGAAGGTATTGGATTATGTTCTAGGATCTTGGTTGAGTAAATATAAAGAGAAATTTGTTGCTTCTTGGAAAAATAAAATTATGCAGTTCGGTAATGTCACGAAAAATAAGCAACTTGTATAATGTGTATAATTAATTGTATTAATAACATTCTTTGTTTTTATAATTAGCCAAAAAAATAAAAATGTATTATCTATTTATTTGATTAATAAAATATATTTATATTGTTCACAAGGTTGAGACTCTTGTCAAAGATTTGAGCAATGAAAATAGATACCTTGAGAGTGCACATTCTAAATTAAAGAACCCCTTGGATTGTAACGAGGTATTTTGAAGCTTCATGGATAGTCATGAATTACCTTCTAGAATTGCAATCCAGACATTCGTTTGAACAAAGCATGTATAATGTTCAACATAACTTCAAACTTCACATTTTCAAGGAATTACGTGGTTTTGTGTCTAAGAATTCAGTGGATCTTAAATCAAATAAGTCAAAGCAAGCATAACATATGGATTTGTATAAAAGTGCTTGTCATTGCACTCTTACATCCACACACGGTTTGCCATGTGCATGTGAGATTTTAGAATACATAGTTACAAGTCGTTCAATACCATTGTCAGCTATTCACCCTCATTCCAAAAAATTAGACATTTTGGTTCCATCAAATGATACTTCTTTCAAGTTGAATATTGTAGCTAAATTAGAGAATATTCAAAAATTATTCGGCAACTGCGACAATGCAGGTAAACTACTTAAAATGAAGTTATGAGAATGTATTAACCCTCAACTACTTCTTTGATGTCACATGTTGAGAAAGTTAAAACCAAGGACCGAACTTCATCAAAAGTTGATACTTCAACTAAAAGGGGTCCTTCATATTTCAAAATTGTTGAGTTGAGTAATGATAGTCATTTTTCTAGCACGTCAGCTTGGTCAAAGTTCCCAGCAAGGTTAAAGGTTAAAGTTAGGCGCACCCTACGAATACTTTAGACTAGACGCAACTTGTTTCCATGACAAAGTCAAACATTGCATAATTAGCATTGTTAATATTTAGTCTGATGGTCATTGTGATTTTAGGACAGTGACTAGTTCGCTTTATAAAAAAAAAAAAAAAAAGAAATGTAAGAGGAAAATTATCAAACAAGTAGAGTGCAATAATTTTGGAAGAATTCTCTCATCATATTGATTCAGCTCACGTTACTTTTGTACAGATGGATCACCTTTAATAAAAGAAAAAAATGAAAGGAATATCAGTCCAGAAATGGTAACTATACAACAGTCTAGCAGGGAACAACCATACCAACAACATCTGTTACGAAAGGAGGAAATGGAAAATCTATATAACAGAAAATATGCTATATCCTTCTAGAATTATTCTTCAACGTATGATCCAGCTTGTTGTCCACGTGTATTTGAGAGTATATGCCTTGTAGGCCACCAGGTTGACTATGCTGCTGCTGCTGATCTTTATCTTCTAATAGCCCCTCGCAAGGTGGAGAGTAGATATCATCTACTCCCATCTTGAGCAAATGAGAGTAGAAAGCAGGAGAACTTGAAGCCTTAGTCAAAAGGTCAGCAACTTGTGATCCACTACCAACATAACTAGTAGTAATACTTCCATCTTGAATCTTGTCACGTATGAGATGACAATCAAGCTCAATGTGTTTGGTCCTTTCATGAAAAATAGGGTTTGATTCGATGTGAAGTGCGACTTTGTTATCACAATACATAGTGGTCGCCCCAGGGTATATAATTTCCAAGTCATTAAGTAAATACCTCATCCAAGTTAATTCATAGCAAATATTAGCCATTGCCCTATATTCGGCCTCTACAGATGATCTGGACACAACTCCTTGTTTCTTTGACTTCCAGGATACTAAAGAAGCCCCAATAAACACACAATAACCACTGACCGATCTTCTCGTGTCCAGGCATGCTCCCCAATTCGAATCACAGTAACCTGTAAGCTTCAAGTTTGATCGAGCAGAATAAAACGATCCCTGTCCTGGTGCCCTCTAGATATACCTTAAAACTTTGTAGGCTGCATTAAGGTATGGTAATCTAGGGCTATCCATGAATTGACTCAATAATTGTACTGAAAAGGATAGGTCAGGCCTTGTTACTGTCAACTATAATAATCTTCCAACTAGTCTTCTATAGAGTGATGGATCAGGAAGAAGTTCTCCTTGTTTTTAGAAAGCTTAAGGTTTTGATCAAGTGGAACTCGAGTTGGTGCTGCCCCAATTTTACCTGAATCTGTCAAAATGTCTAAAGCATATTTCTTTGGCATATGTGAATACCACGATTAGACCTGGCCACTTCGATTCCAAGGAAGTATTTTAGCTGTCTTAGGTCTTTGATTTTGAATTTCTCATGTAGGGAGGCCTTGAGAACATTTACAGATTCAATGCAACTACTAGCCACTATAATGTCATCAACGTACACCAGGATGGCAGTAAAGGAATGTTTGGTAGTTCTTGTAAATAGGCTATAATCAGCCTTAGATTGTGAAAAACCTTGTCCAATAATGAAGTTAGATAATTTAGAATACTACTGTCTAGAAGCTTGTTTAAGACCATACTAGCTTTTTTTTAGTTTACAAACTTTTGTCCCATCAGCATTAGGATAACCTGGAGGCAATTGCTTGTAAACTTCTTCCTCCAAATCTCCATGTAGAAATGCATTGTTTACATCAAATTGATATAGGTGCCACCTCTTAACAACAGCCGCAACCGCAGCCACAGCCAACAATGTCCTTACAGTGACTAGTTTTGCCACAGGGGAAAATGTTTCATGATAGTCGAGTCCTTCTTCCTGTGTATATCCTTTAGCCACCAACCTGGCTTTATGTCTTTCTATTGTCCCATCGGCATTGAATTTAGTTTTATAGACCCATCTACATCCTATAGCTTCCTTACCAGGAGGCAGATCAATAATTAGCCAAGTATCATTTAACTCGAGAGCATCTATTTCAGCTTTCATAGAATTACACCACTCGGGAGATTTTAGTGCCTCTTGGAAATTTTTAAGTTTTGTGTGTGTGCTGATAGAATCAACAAATGCCTTATGTGGGATGGAGAGTTTATGATATGTCAAATAAGTTTCAAGAGGATATGGATTACCTGGAGAAATGATGACCCTTTGCTTGTCCAAAGACTGTGAATGGGGAAGTAAAACCACCTGTTGGCAGACAAAATCCTTAAGATGAGCAGGAGTTCTCTTGATTCTGTTTTACCTCCAAGGTAGAGCTTGCTCTTGGGATGGCTCAATATTGATCTTAGATGCATTTGCAGGTTTAGATGACTCATAATTTTGCTCTAATGGAGAAGGTTCAGATGGTTGAGGTAAAGATACTGAATATTCTGTTGCTGTGTTTTGGTTTGAGGTAGGTGGAATTTCAGAAATGAAATCTATATTTGAAATTGGATTTGGAACAAAATTATTATTGATGACTGCATTTTGTTTGTAAGGAAACACATTCTCATCGAAGATAACATTTCTAGAGACAAAAACCTTCTTTGTTTCTAAATCCATTAATTTGTATCCTTTGATTCCAAACGGGTATCCCAAAAATATGCATCCTCGCTCTAGGATCAAACTTATGTCTTCCATTCACCAGGGTAGGAGCAAAAACTAGGCATCCAAAAACTTTGAGATGGGTGTGATTCGGTTTAGTTTGAAAAAGAACTTCAAAAAGGTGTTTTCTGATCTAAAATAGGTGTAGGAGTTCTATTTATAAGATAAACAGCCGTTAGAACACAATCACTCCAATATTTTAATGGGATGGTACTTTGAAATTTCAAAGCTCTTGCCACATTTAAAATGTGTTGGTGCTTTCTTTCAACTATGGAATTTTGTTGAGGAGTTTCCATAGAAGTTTTATGATAGATGATTCCCTTTTGTGAGTAAAATTGTTTCATCTCAAATTCACTTCCATTGTCTGATCTAATAGTCTTAACTTTGCATTCAAATTGTGTCTCAATCATATAACAAAAACTTTGCAAAATAGTGCCAGCATCAGATTTGAATTTCAACATATATACCCAAGTACATCTACTAAAATCGTCCAGAATAGCTAAGAAATATTGAAAACCATCATAACTAATCTCATTACATGGGCCCCAAAGATCGCAATGTATGAGATCAAAACATTTTTTTGATTTATGTTGGCTAATGGGAAATGGCAATTTTTGTAGTTTGGCCAAAAGACAAACAAGACAAGGCTGTTTGGTAGATCTTGTAGTGCTTACTGGTAAACCAAATTTGGTATTGGTGGAGTGTCCTAACTTATAGGGCTAAAGATCGAAATCTTCACCATTATTAAAAACAGAGGAAGCAAACATGTGTGTTTTTTGAGTTAGATGCTTTAATTTCTTGGTGAAAGCAAGGGGAGACGCTTCTTTTTGCATCAAATGATAGAGGCCTTGCTTTACTTCACCCATTCCAGTTGTTTTCCAAGTCAAAAGGTCCTGTATAAAATAAGAATCATGAAAAAAAATCAGACAACAATTCATTGTCTCTATTATTTTCCTTGCTGATATCAAATTAAAAGAAAACGATGGAACAAAAAGGACATTATCTAAGATGAAGGAGTCTAAAAATTTTAGCGTCCCAATGTGAGTAATAGGGACAACCTCACCATTAGGAAGGGCTACAGAATATGAAACTTCAGCTTTGATTGTGGTAAAATACGAGGCTGAACAGATCATATGATCTGTGGCCCCTGTGTTTAATATCCAAGGTGCAACTGAATGATTTGAAAGTTTAGTTCTGAGTGCAGAAAAACAAAGAGATATACCTGAAATTTTGGGCATCTCTCCATCACCAGCATTAGTTGGAAGAGTTTGAACATGATTCGCGGAGGGGATGAAGTTGTGATTGGTTTGTGGTTTTAGCAGTGCCATGAGCTGAGTATATTGCTCTTGAGTTAAAGGTATTTGAGCTTTGTTACTTACCTGCTCATGGAAAGGGGACACAAGAATTGTAGCTTGATTAGCAAAGGATGTTGATGTTTTGCTTCTCCTTTCAGATTTATGGCCTGACGGATATCCATATAGTTTGAAACATTTTCCAACTGCATGACGTGGCATTTGGCAGTAAGACACATGTTGGCTTGTTTGGATTAGCTTTGAAGCACCATTCAAGGGAATGCCCAGTTATCTTACAATAGTTGCAATAGTACCTATCCTTCTTCTGAGAAGATTGGTTTTGTGTTCTTACATCAAAGTTACCCTTGGCGAGCAATGCCATAGTTTCACCAAGTGTACTCTCAGTGGAGATTTCCCTCCTTTTCTCTTCTTGCTGAACGATAGAGTACACTTCATTCAAGTTTGGGAAAGGCTTAATAAGGAGTATTTGAGCTTTTAATCCCTTGTATGTGTCATTGAGACCCATAAGAAATTTCATAACCCAATCTCTCTGTTGGTTGTTCACCACGACTTTCAAACCTCCACAATAACAATTAGGGACTGATTCATAATTCAATAATTCATCTAAAAGGGTTTTCAGCTTTGAAAAATACATGCTTACACTGTCTTGATTTTGCATCAAGTTTGCAATGCTTTGTTTGAGTTCAAAAATCCTTGGTGCATTCTGCTGTGCCAACCTTTGCTCAAGCTCCTTCCATAGCTGATGTGCCGTTTCAGCATACATAGTGCTGCACTTTATGTCCACTGCCATAGTGTTTTGCAACCAAGTAATGACATATCATTACATCTCAACCAACGCTCCATGAGTGGACTATCTGCATCACTAGGCTCTGAAATGCTTCCATCAACAAAATCAAGTTTATTTTTAAACCTGAGTGCTCTTTGCATCAAACGTGCCCAGGAATGGTAATTATTTGAATCCAACACATGAGTGACGAGTATGGATGCAGAGCTATCATTAGCTCCAATGTAGTATGGACTGTTAGGCTGTTAAGGATCAATTGGAGTTGGATTTGGGTGTTGATTTGTGTCTATGTTTGAAGATTCAATTGGATTTGCATTAGCAGAATCGGGTTGTGCCATATCTGGCTCTGATACCGTATAAAAAAAAGAAATGTAAGAGGAAAATTATCAAACAAGTAGAGTGCAATAATTTTGGAAGAATTCTCTCATCATATTGATTCAGCTCACGTTACTTTTATACAGATGGATCACTTTTTATAAAAGAAAAAATGAAAGGAATATCAGCCCAGAAATGGTAACTATACAACAGCCTAGCAGGGAACAACCATACCGACAAATTCTGTTACGAAAGGAGGAAATGGAAAATCTATATAACAGAAAATATGCTATATCCTTCTAGAATTATTCTTCCACGTATGATCTAGCTTGTCATCCACATGTATTTGAGAGTATATGCCTTGTAGGCCACTAGGTTGACTGTGCTGCTGCTGCTAATCTTTATCTTCTAATACGCTTGGCTTGGGAGAAGAGGCTTGGTGGCATATTCGACGTGATCGGATTACTGAAATGAAATCTAAATATGATGCTTGTAGAAAATTATATGGTGGCAAAGAAAGGTTGAAAGAATTGTTATATATTCTGATTACTTTAATATTGGTGCCACATATGATCGATGGATGATGATGCCGGACATGCGCCATTTGATAACATCTTGGTATGTTGTTGTACTTGTCATTATATCTTCCATACAATGTTTAACATTCCTATCATTGCACTCTACACCTCTACCATTAAATCATAAGATTATGTCACTGTGTAGCTACTTTATTTTAATGAGATGCCTTTATTTCATTGGTTTAAACTTATCGTTATTAATTTGATTTATCACTTACATAGGTCAACTGGAAGACCACTTGTCCAATTCCACTTGTGGCATATAATTGGTACAAGGGAAGTGCTATATATACATAATTGTCCACATAATAGTGTCTATAATTACACGTGGCACTGAATCCAACCTTTAATTCAAATCTCACACTTACACATCAACCAGATGATTGTCAAATCATATTATGGGCACCATTATGTGCAATAATTATGTATAAGTAAAATTTTCCTTGATACAAATACAGAGATGATATTGCAAGTGGATGGGAGAATATGTATAAAGCAAGAATTGAAACATTCAAATAGATGATGGTAGTGAAATCGCTAGGCCTAGTCATGAGATTTTTAACTTGAACTCTCCATAATTAGCACAATAGTCAGTGTATTGGATATATTTTTCTTACTTAATATAGTTCATGCACAGGAGTTTGTTGTCCATTGTCATTGTGTGAATATATTATTTGACCGAAATTCCAAGTCAGTGTCTGAGTACCAACAACATTAGTTACAAATATTGTACTACCAACTATACATTACAGAGCTCTGCTCGGCAAACAGAGCCACGTATGCCCTGTTTGTCCCGGGGGGAGGGGGGCATGTGTCCCCCTATTGGCAGGGTGCTGCTCTATGTGGCCCTATTTGTTTAGAATTATCGTTACATTGAGAGGCAGTATTACAATTCAATTGAGAAATGGTTATGGTTGTGACTGGACGAGATTCATCATAACGGAATTTTGAAATACTAATAAAATCTGATATGAGAAATAATATGCAATATTCGGGTTGGATTGGAAATGTTGGAAATTGAATAATTCATTCGTGAATAGGGTATCCTATTTATTTGTGATTTTGTTACGACCAACATAAGACGGCAAAAATGATGGATATTCAATTTGGATTTGTGGTTATTATTAAGACCCAGTTAAGAAGAAAACGATGATGGAATTGTGTTAACTAATTGAAAAATGTTAAATAAGTTTATGTTTATCATTTGATGAAGATTTTGGAGAAGGAACAGTACATAGAAGCAAGGAAACGAAACACAGATTTTTTACACCAAATTGATTTTGGAGGGACAAAGTAGAGAGAAGATATAAAGAATATTCTTAAAAAAAAAAATAAAAAAAATAAAAAGGTGCGAGCTTATTTGCGTTGAGCATTCTAATTTTTTTATTAAGATAAGAGGGCAAGAAAATATTGTAAATGATTCGTTTTTCTCAATTAATGATATTTCTTCTTTAGTGGTCATCAACAGTCAGTCAAATCACATTTATTCGTATTTTCTTTTGGAGGATGTTAGAAGTACATAGGGGCCTCCATAATGGACACATGGAGGCCCCCTATTGGAGGCGACCCTCCAATAGGGGGCCTCCATGTGTCAATTATGGACATCATTATAGAGGCTCCTATGTACAAGAAGATTAATCCTTTTCCGTGCATTTCATCTTTCATTTCCCTTTCCCTTTCCCTTTTTTTCCACACAGCCAAAACTTCTAAAGTAATTGATACGAAGTCCACCCAAAGCCAGGCCCGACAACTTGAAGTAAATGAAGCACACATTAGGAAATTGAAACATAAGGCCCTGTTCTCTTTACCGTTTTCGGGTCGTTTTCTGTTTTCGATTTTTCAAAACGGTGAAAACGTGTTCTCTTTCCCGTTTTCGAAAACGAATTTTCGAAAACGAAAAAAAATTTGTGAAGAAAACACAAAACGCCTTTTTTGTCGTTTTGGGCGTTTTCAGTGTAAAACTTGAAAAAATTGAAAACGCGGGAAACCCTTTTTTTTTTTTTTTTTAGAAACTAAAAAAAAAAACGCATTTTCAACAATTTCAAAAAAAAAATTTAAAATTTTGAGAATCCCCACAACACCCCCTCAAAACACCCAAAAAAAAAAAAAATTTTAATTTATATTTTTTTTTTTGAAATTTTGAAAACCCCCAAAAAAAAAAAAAATTTTAATTTATATTTTTTTTTTTGAAATTTTGAAAACCCCCAAAAAAAAAAAAAATTTTAATTTATATTTTTTTTTTTGAAATTTTGAAAACCCCCAAAAAAAAAAAAAATTTTAATTTATATTTTTTTTTTTGAAATTTTGAAAACCCCCAAAAAAAAAAAAAATTTAATTTATTTTTTTTTTTTTTTGGGAAACTAAAAAAAAAAACGCATTTTCAACAATTTCAAAACAAACATTCAAAACACAAAACTCAAAATGAATTCAAAACTCAAAACACAAAACTGAAATACAAAGAGAACACCCCCTAAATAATTCGAGTCTGTTAAATACGTCAATACAAAAAAATGTCAAAATAAACGAAGAGAGATATCTCAAGCTACTATGCATATAAAAGATAGAGAGGATAAATTTATTCTTTTAAATTTTATCTTTAACCGTTAATTTGCGCATGTTAAAAGAAGTTTGAGCTTAAATGCATCAACAAGGTACCCATTTTCAGCAAGGTCGATCTTTGCTTACATATTTGATTATTATTTATTAAATACAGAAAGGGAAACTATTTTAGAAAAACCACCCATCAGAGCCATCGTTAATCATTGGTCCCTAAAGGTTCACATCAATCTAGTACTAGTTGATGAGAGTTGATCATAATTGATTGATTAGTAACCCTTAAATCCACGATTTCAAGTTTTTTTTTTAATACCTTATTACGTCATTCGATCAACAATCTTAATGAATAAATGCCCTCAACCTCTGCCATGAGTGCAGTTTGTTGATATAACCACACCAGCAAACATGATGATGAGCAAACACATTTGAGTCACCGAAAAGCTGAAAAGAGTACTAGCTAGTACGATCGAAGGTCTTGTTGATTTTCATAAGGGTATTTTCAATTTTTCATGTAACTCTATCCGCCCATACAACCTTTTCCTTAGCATTAATAAGTTTTAGGCCTAGAAATTATGAATTAACTTGGACATTTTATATTTCAATCAAAGTGGCAATCTACTTGTTGGTTAATTAAAAATTGAATTCGAGCAATATGTGATGAAGTAGCTTCAAGACAAGAAGACTGGATTGAGATAGAGAACATCATCTGATGATGATAACAAACTCGATTTTTTATGCGACTTAGCATGTGCTTCAGGCAGCAAAATAATGGGAACTGTGTCCTTAATTTATCTACAGAAAAAATATATATTCTGGCTGCCTGGTCTTGTGCATGAGGAATTCATGTGCATAACTTGCATGATGAAGTGGCCCGTAATGGATCTTGAAGACAGAAAAAGTGATGAAGTGCATAAGGGATTAGAATTTATGATGAAATGGGATCGTCACAAGGCAAAATAATGCTTTTTTAATTTCATGATAACTTCGGGTTGATTCGTTTTTGACGAATTGCTAGTCTAATTCGGTCGGAATCAAGCCAATGAATAAAACTCAGAGCTTCTAGCCCTGATGCAAGGCCAATATTGGGCAAAATCCATTGTTTAGTCCCTCATTTAGGCCTTTTTGCTATTTATGGTAATTTTTATTTTTGCAATATCTTTTTTCATAAAATTCGGATTTATATTCCGTTTGTTGGAGGATGATCCCGAAGACAAGGATTTTCCATCTTAGTAGTTATCTTATATTTTTCTATTTTTGGAAAAATATCTTTTTATTCTATTTTCCGAATTTTGCTAAGTTTTTTTTCTATTTAAGTCGATGTAAGCCCTTTGAGGTGACAGTTTTTGAATTCAATAAAATTTTCCTTAAAGAGTTTTTTCATTTTGTGATTGTTCATTTTTCCTATAGTCTTCCGCTACGTCAAAAAGCGTATTATTAGAGCTGTCAATCTAGAGTTGATCTCATAAGAAGGATTTAGGACTGGGCTCTTTTTTTTTTTTTTTTTTCTTTTTTTTCTAAACAGGGTTAGTATGTTAAAAAATAAATAAAATATATAAA